CACCAGTTTCCCTCCTTTTCGCCTTCATCTCCCGTATCATCAACTCAGCGTCGTTCCGTGGCCGGCCATAGCCCCCTATTGGCCCAGCACGCCCTACGAAAATTGCCGACGTGGCGGCGAACGGAGAACCCCGAAATTCCGAAGGCCCAACCCAAATACGCAACAGCCGGCGACACGTGGCGGCCCCCGACGGCCCAACTTTTCAGGACCACCTCCTCCGCGAAGGGACTTCCCCGTAAGTCGTCGCCCACAGTACCCAGGCCCCGTCAGGCCTTAAGTCCCTTGCGCACACGCCCCTTATTCGCTTTATTGCATCCATACCCCTAAGACTCCCCCACTTTCCCAAAAATCCTTGGCACACGCCTTTTCGCACTTTCAGGCCCACATCCCACTCCGATCACGAAGTCGTGTTGGGCATGAGGTTGGTATCGGAGCCCGACACGTGGCTAGGGTCTTAGGATTGATAGCACGTTAATTAGGCGACCTGGCTAACCGTGGGCGACCTCGCCCTCGGAACGCGCATAGACGCGACCCTATCATCACCCGAAGCAGATCGGCTAACCGACGAGCAGCCAATATGGCTGCCAATGTGCAAAACCCGATTCCGCAACAGAATGCTAATCCACCGAATCAACCTGCCCCACGTGCATGGGCTCCCATGACGCCACCCGATCTCTATCTTTTTGATCCGGCACACCATCTCGCAGGAGCATGGTTGGCCACGCTTAGAGCACAGCAGTACGATGATAACGAAGCACAGATCAACATTCCGGCTCAAATGGGAGGAGACGCTCATTATTGGTTTAGTACCTACGTATGGGTTGATCTTCCGGCCTTCGAACGGGATTTCATGAACCGATTCGATTATGTTCACCCCGAGCAAGCGTTGTACATGATCAAGGACCGAGTGCAAAAAACTCTCGAATCCGTTGCAGAATATCGAAACCGGTTTACAGAATGTTCGTGAAAACTGAGCGAGGTGAGCAAGTAGGGAGAGATCTGTTCATTGACGGGCTTCACAGCCAAACAATAAGGGCTAAGTTGCGGAAGCAATTTTCCCCCATCACTCACATGCTACAACAAATCATGGCTGCTGTGGAAGAAACAGAACGGAAGTTCGCAGCGAACTTTCTGGAAGGAGAAGACTATCCTAGAGAAGGAGATTCGACCGAGCTCACACGAGCGAGAGCTGAGCTGGCTGCCTTGCAGAACAAGTTTGAAAACATGGGATTTGTATCAGGACCTGTCACATATATGGAACAGATAGGCCCCAAACGAGTGACCCTAAGTGAGATTCCAAGCACCTCCGCTCCTATGATACCCCCACCCGTCAGGGTGTTACCCCCGCCACCGATTGAGGCTCCCGTATGATCGAACGAATCAGCGGTCATTTTCGAACTACCCAAAACATTGATTAGTTTAATCCAGGAAAGCAAAAAGGAGCAGCGAGAGCACAATGCTCGGATGGAAGCCATGATGAGGAACATGCCGCCCTTTGTGGTACGCGCCCCTCCGATGCAGCAAGGATTAGCCCCGACACCTGCTCTTGGGGGAGCCGCGAACAATCTGAATGTCTGTTATGCCTGTCATCAGCCAGGACATCTAGTCTGTGATTGCCCCCATCGACCCCCACAACAGCGGATCGGGGTCGCGCTGATGGCGGCTGCCCCCATCGCTAACGGACCAGGACGAGTCGGAGCTTTAATGGAAGAAGTAGAGGGTGGGGTAAGTGCCCTAGCCACCACGGAAGAGGCCGCCGAGCTAATCCCGCTAGATGAGTACGTATCACTCGGGTATCCCGGGCTTGGAATGATCGGAACAATCAGACCAGCGCCAGAACCGAAAGAGGTGGCGGAGTGGCGACCTTCATTAGGGGAAATGGAGTCGGGAGGACCCACCTTCCTCACAGGAGAGATCGACGTATTAAACATCATCCGAGCCGTGGACCATCGGATTCCACTTTCGATCGGTCATCTACTCTCGATCTCTGAGCAAGCCAATGAGCGAATGCTACAACATTGCAAAGCGAACCGAAAGTGATTTGCCCTCACCCGAACACCGAATGTAAAAGCTAAAAGCCCCACGCCCGAAGAAAACCCAACAGGCACTTCAGATCCGATACGGGTAGGTTTAATTCAGAAAGACGACCATTTCCTACGGATTAAACCAATCCCGTGGAAATCCGCAGAATGCGATATTGAAATTTAGAGAATTCCTTACAACGCAATTATAGATTCGGGTGCAGTTGTGCTGGCTATTTCCATGAGAGTAGTCGAAAGGGCAGGTAGGAAAAACGATATGATCATGCTCACTGAGAAAGATCAGCTCGTTTCGGCAGATGACAAAAAGATCAAGATTGTGGGACGAATGACCAATGTCGCTTTCCGATTAGAAAAAGTGCACGAGCTTGGGGATGTCGTAGTACTAGATGTTAATATGTACGGCGTTCTTTTTGGACTTTCTGCTCTTGTGGCGTTACGAGCAAACCTCGATCGTCCTCCGAAATACAGGAGGAAAACCCTACGCTGTGACCATGCGATTGACCCTTCGTACTACAATTAACACTGTCCCACGGGTTTGGCCGATGATGGCAGGGACTCTCCGCATGATCTCCTGGGCCGAATCCGCAGATGGAAAGTCCTCGACGAATGATGCGGACAACAGTGATGAAGATGATCCAGAGATCTTGATATTAGTACGACAGCGCGTTTACTACCCGCCGCCCAAAACGATAGCAAGAACGATGCAACTGACCAGCCGAAAAATTCAAAGAACCAAGGCGATGATCTTGGGTGAGCCCCTCGTGCAGATTTCAAGGATGGTCGATTCTTTGGAACCCCCTCAAACCCTGTACGAAGGAATCACCCCTCTCCTCGCCCGGTATAACGACAAGAAGCATTACTGTGACATTACGGATCTACCCAAGTCCTTATTAACATCTGCTAAAGAAGTGCGATTGTTACGATTGGGGGCGGAAGCAAGTTCTCTGGAACCCCCTGCGCGTCTCGAAGCCGAAACAGACGAACAGGGGATAAAGATCGCAACTAAGAGCGTGCCATGACAGGATATATGTGACGGGGTTACCCCGGAAGGACACGTGGCAATCCGGGAAGAAGATACCCAGATGATGGTCACAATGTTCTCCTGGCGATCGGACCATTCGTTCATCTCAACACCTCCGCCCGACGTTGCAAAACAGGCGCGCATGAAACAGATTGACGTTCAGATCTGGGACCAACTTTTCGAACTACACGTTCCACAGTACGTACCGGATGAAATCCACCGGGTGATTGCGGATATTCTAACGGAATACCAAGGAGCGATTAGTGTGACAGACAGTGACATTGGTTTGTCGTTACTAATCCAACATGAAATTCAGACCGGAAATCACTCTCCAATTCATTGCAAACCTTACCGGTATTCCCTGATTAACCGCAAAAAGGCCCTCGAACGAATTCGGGAGTTCGAAGCCAGCGGCTGGATTGAACCCGCTACCGGACCTTGGTCATTTCCCGTAGTATTAGTACCGAAGAAAAACGGAGCGATTCGCATTTGCATTGATTATCGCAAGTTGAATGAGATCACGATCAAAGATGTGTATCCCCTCCCCCGAATTGAGGATTTGTTGGATGCGATTGGATGTGTTAATTATTTTAGCAAGTTTGATATTCGGCATGGTTTCCATCACATTCTGGTTAAAGAGGAAGATCGGTCGAAGACGGCCTTTGTGTTGTTTGAGGGCACGTGGCAGTGGGTTCGGTGTCCGATGGGGATTTGCAATGCGCTTGCCACGTTTCAGCGAGCAATGAACATGACGTTCCAGAATTTCGTCAGCAAGACATGGCTGACACAAGGGATGATTAACTTCTGCGTGAACGTGTACATGGACGATATCCTGGTCTATTCGGAAACCTATCATGGGTACGCACAACATATCGAATGGATATTGGGAGCGTTGAGAGACGCTGGGTTCAAGATTGCGCTCGAGAAGAGCGAATTTTTCCTCACAAAAATTTCATTCTTGGGCTACATTGTGACACGTGGAGGACTACGACCGGACTCAAGAAAGGTTGCGGCAGTGAAAGAAGCCCCGGTTCCCACGTCACTGACGCAGGTTCGAGCCTTCTTAGGGTTAGCGTCGTACTACCGGCGCCTAATCAAGGGCTTTGCCGCGATTGCACGGCCATTAACGAATCTGCTACGGAAGGACCAGCCTCTCAGCTGGGACGCGGAGTGCAAGCAGGCCTTCGCGACCCTCAAAGACGCCTTGGCGACGGCTCCTATTTTGATCCGACCGGACCCCTCGAAGCAGTTTATCCTCATTACGGACTGGCAACCGGAAGCCATCTCCGCTATTTTAGCGCAGAAGGGGAACAATGGTCGCGAACACGTCATCAAGTACGCGTCGCGCACAGTGTCGGACGAACGCCGGAATGACTCAGCACCTCAAGGCGAGTGTTATGCGGTAGTTTGGGGAATCCAACACTTCCATCCGTATCTCTACGGACAGAAGTTTCGCCTCGTGACGGATCACGAGCCTCTGCTAGCTTTGAAGAAGCTCACCAACTACACGGGCATGATTGGCCGATGGGCAGTACGACTACAGGAGTACGATTTCGATATCGTTCATTGAAAAACGGAGAGACACGGCAACGYGGACGGACTGACACGTCTGCATCGACCCGCTAAAGTGCCGAAGGGCGAGGAAATCACACCGTGGAAGGAACCGGAATTCACAAACGAGCCGAAATACGGACAAGTGGCAGTTCTTCCACGTGGCAAAAAGCAGGACAATGGCAATGGGTGACGGAGGTAACCCCACTACCCCTCTTTCCCCCCTCTCTTCCTCGTCTATCCTCTCCCTTCCTGAGAAATTTTGTTATTTTTGTGAAGCGATTTCCCGCGTGTATTCCGTCGTCATGCGTCCTAACGGAGAAGGGTATGCGGACTGGATAGATTGTCGACAGTGTGTCGCACGAGCCCATGGCTCGTGCATCCAATACAGAAACGATGATAAATCGTGGTTGCCCCCCTTGTGTCAGACTGACAAGATTCCGACCGAGGCTCACTTTTTGGATGCCACGTCAGAAGGAATGGAGAAGACCCAGAAGTTTAGAAGGGCCGAAGTTTGGACGGACATTGCTTTAGTTGCCACCCTAGTAGGTAACCCCCTCCAGGATTTCACCAAGGAGGATCGGAGAAGGGCCAACGAAAAGGCTCGAGATTACAGATGGATAGAGGGCAGATTAGAAAAACGAAAAACAGACGGCAGTGGGATTTGGATGGTTGTGCCGCATCCGTTCATGCGGTATGATTGGGTTAAGACAGCGCACGAGGAAACTGCGGCTCATTTCGCCGTGCGAATCACGGAGTCCGCTATCGACAAAAATGAGTGGTACTGGTCCAATATCCGCGATGATGTGAAATACATCGTCGCCAACTGTCAAGTTTGCGTCGCTGATAAAGCGCCGATTCAGCCACCGAGATCGATAATATCGACGGTAGTTGAACGACCGTTTCAAAGAGTGAGCATGGATACAACTGATATAGTGGTGCCCCCTGGCCCTAATAGTTGCGAATATTCAGTCCTATTGATATTTGTCGACCATTTCTCGAAATGGATCTAGGCATACCCTTGTCGCACGCGACAAGCCACGGATATCGCGCGATACGTCAACCGTTTCCTTGGGATGCACCAGGATACGGAAGAGATCCTGACTGACAATGGGGCTGAATTCAGGGGAGAAGTCCTAAGGAATCTGGTCCTACATGGCGTTGCTATACGGAATACTGCACCCCACATGTCGCAATCCAATGGACTGGTGGAAAACGCCAACCGAGTGATAAAGACAGCATTGCGACGAAACATCGTGGCACGGGATCTAAGGCCTTGGCCCGATATCGTTGACCGCATCCTGGCGGTCCATCGCTGAACGCCCGACGAATCGACAGGGCTAAGCCCCTTCCCATTAAGGACCAATAGCGTCGCTTGCGTTTCGATACCAAGCCTCCCACATGAGTCTACATTGAACCAACGGCCTACCAGGGCCACGGCTCGGGACAAGGTCAAACGGCACCTAGAGGTAATGGAACGGTCACTCCTAAGGCTAGTCCGAAAACGACAGAAAATGACCGAACTAGCCCAAGGCCGACAGGTCCGTAGCTACGAGGCCCGAAATGGGAATGCGGGTCCGCGGCCCGAGTACAAATTAGGGGACATGGTGCAGGTAAGGAAATGTGCTCGCCAGGGTAAGCAAGCGCCACAATTCTTCGGGCGATATCGCGTGATCGATCTCAGCCCTAACGGCGTGGACACCGTGCGTCTCGCCCCCGAGGTCTCTGGCATTCGATCGGCTCGTCCGATCACATACCACGTGTCCTATCTTCGCCTTCTTCCCTCTACTCCGTCTCCTTCAACAGAAAAATTCCCATGAAAAATGAAAGTTGAAAAAACATTCCATGAAAAAAAAATCCTTCATATTTATAAATCATCATTCCAATGTTTGTCCAATTCTAAAATTTCCAATTTAATTTGATAAGTTCCCCTCTAAATATGAGTTTTCCCTTCCAACTACATCTATTTGTTCAAGATGGAATAAAAGTCTGGACGAGTTTATAAAATATTTTAATTAGACTTTCATTCTACTACAACAAATAAAGTTTAATTTATATTGGATTAACCTATTTATGACTGGAAATCCTTACTTAGAATGACAGTCCTATTAAATATTTCATGAACTCATCCGAGCTTTCATTCCATGTCTAGCATACAGTTGAAATAAGAAGGGATACCCCATTCTTGGAAGGAAAGTTTTCAAGTAAGACGAAAAAATTTTAAATTGGAATGACATTTTTTAAGATGGAATGAAAATTTAAAATTTTGAATGTAATTTTACTATAGAATGAATATTTAATTCTGGAAAATTTAGAATGTAATTTTACTCTAGAATGATTATTTAATTCTGGGAAATTTTTATGTTGTTCTCCCTCGGTCTCTCTCTCCGAGGAAGCCGCCGACGACGGCTCTGTCTCCCCAGCATCTCTCTCTTCTTCTTGTTCCCTCTCTGCCTCCCCGTCACCTTCGCCATCGCCATGAGTTTTCATGAGGAAAGAGCCTGCAGCGAAGCATTGCTTGCACCCCGTGATCGATTGACGATCCGACAGGTCCATCATCCCCGCCTCAGTTCAGATCTTCGGCGGCTTGCGCACTTCTTCTGCACGGAAGGCGTGTATGCAGCGACGGTGTTCAGAATCGAAGGCCGGCCTGATGCGGTGGTACTGGCCGAGGTGGAAGCAGTTCATCACCGAGCGGTGCCAAGTGTCGCCCGCATATCGGTCATCATCAACTTCAGTGGCGATCTCTCCGCGCTCCTTCCCTTACGACATTCGGCGGTGAAGGCGTCGCTGCGCACGTGGGCGAAAGATCTGATCGCTGAGTGGACCCTGCTTCTAGCTCGTCATGGGGATATGATCGCGACGACACGAGCGATCGAGTACGACGACCTCCGGATGTATCAGCGCGATCCGCCGGCGGAACTCCCTGTCCTCGTTCCCTTCCCGCATCCCCAATGAGTCTCTCTCCGATCTCTGTTTTTGATCTCCCCTCTACTTTCCCCACCTTCTGGCAGTCCGACATCCATCCTCGCCTTTCCTATTGTCTAAAGCCTCTTGTTGTCCCCCTTCTTCATCCGCCCCATTGGATCCTATGGCGTGAGGACTTCATCGAGCTTTCATTGTGTTTGGTTGAGGTACGGCTGACGTGGACCGAGGACGGAGCGCACCCACCTCACATAGAGTGTCTGGAGTTGCTGTTTATCCAGGCCTGGCGCACCAATATGGAAGGAGAGCTTCTCGCATTTCTATTTGGAACAGTGCGGCCCGGTCATTGGGAACTTATCGCGCAAGAACTCACGATCCCTGTAGCGCAACCGGCGGATGATCTCCCTCCCGACATCATCGCGCAAGACGACGAGCATCCGGTCCCCCACGTGCTCTCTCGCACATTGATACCTTACCTTCAGTGGTCGGCTTGCGTAGAGGGAGCCGCAGAATGCATCCCGCCGTCACAGCAACAGTATTTGGATCCCCGAATGGCTCTCGATCCTGCCATCTTCAGATACCCTACAGCGGAGCAGTTTGTTGCCATCCGAGAAGAAGAGGAGGAAGAAGAGAGCACCGGGAGTGACGAAGGAGAGAGCACCGGGAGTGACGAAGGAGAGGACACGCGGGAAGAAGGCAGGGATAGCGGCGAAGTGCTTGGTGAAGAGGACGAAACCCCCGAAGAGGGAAGCTATAGCGAGCATGGCGAGGGAGAACAGAGCGAAGAAGAAGAAGAAGACGAGGAAGGAGAAGAGGAGCACGAAGAAGGGTCTGCTGGAGCGGAGTGGAAAGTTGTGCCGGAAGAGGCACTGCGTACGGGCACGGAGGCTGAAGATCCCGAGGCGGCCCGTAAAAGAGAAGAGATCGCGACTGGGAAGGAGTTAGAACTCACGAGCGCGGCGAGTCTGCACATTCACGACGACCCAAACCGAGATCCGGAGCCGCCCCGACCAGAAGATGGCAACCTCACGGCCACGACTCCGACCCCATCAGCGGGGCAACGGAGCCGATCCCCCTCCTCCCCAACCCGTCCCCCAGTTCGCCGACGTACCGATACGGGCGATCGGCCTTCGTCCCCGATCACTCTCTCGCCGTCCCCTTGACTACCTCACCCTCCGCAAGCTCACCACCCCTGTCACGTTCCCCTCCAATCCGTTCCCCCGCGACACCTTCCGTCACTTTTACGCTGCTCGCCTCGCGGTAGTAGTGCATCCCCATTCCTCCATCCGATGCGCTGTCCCGGCCTTCTGCCTCCATGTCTTACTCCTTAGTGCCGCACGGCGAGGCCACAATACAATCGAGGTTTATTGCGTGATAATGGGGACCATCCCCGCATGCGAAGACCGTGACCGTTTTCGCGCGGCACTCTTCTGAACTCTCACCACCCTCTATCCCGACTATCTCGCGTCCCTCCCTCGCACTGGCAACCAATTCCCCCGTTTTCATCGCATTGTGCGTTATCAGGAGCTCCCAGAGATTGTGGCCGGAATGGAAAGTCTCCTGCCCCCGCTACCTTTAAGCCCTCCACCCCGCCATGCCGCTATGTACCGGCTTCCTTTTCCCCTCCCCTGCGGTCAACTGATGCATGGTTGATTGACACGTGTCCCGGTGACGACGTGTAATCCCCCTCCTGGGAATGTTGAGAGCCCACCCTGAGGAATTAGCAGGAGAGCAGTGTTGCCACATTGGATGACGTCCACACGCAATTAAACGGTAAAGTGGCACAGAGAGAGATGCTCCGCGTGTCGATTGATTAGAGAAATCGACACGTGTCGACAAGCAAGCAGGAGCTTGCTAATATTGGAACCCCCAGGGCGTCACATATATGACGAACCACTTTCTCTAATGCGCGACTTTCTGCGCGGTTGCAACGAGGGGTCCTAAGTTGGGAAGGGTGGGCCAATTACGGGAGATCGGGATCGGTGGAAAACTGCATCATTGTCCTTGCTTTTTCGTCTTTATCGTCGCTTCTGTTCGAATGGTTGGGTTCGGAGCTGGGTATGTCTTGGGATGGTCGGTTGATTGATTGGTCGGCTGGATGGCTGCCGCGCCACCACGCGCGCGATTAATTAATGTTGACGTCGTATCTTTCGTTTCGGTTTCGATCTTTTGGGCGCGGACATCGCGCGGGAATTTGCTTCGTTGTTTTTTAATTTTCTTTTGTGTCTTTTTCGAATTTTGTCGAGCCCCAATGGCTCTCGGAATTTCGGACTTTCCCCCTTAGGTTCGTGCTTTTTGCTTCTTCACATTAGACTCGTCCTTCAGGGACCGCCCGTAATACGCGCTTCTTCATGCGGCTGCAATGGTACTCTGATTACTAGGCGTCCTTAATCGTGTGTGTAACCGTAATTTTGGGCGGGCGCCATTGTAACTGTATCTTTATTCTTGCACCTTGTCTTTCCCGCCCTCCTTCTCTTTCTTCCGCTGCGTTTTTTGTAGCCGCGGTCTGCATGATCGAATCGATGCGTGGAGAGCGGCTACGTCCCCCACGCCGCGAGCCGACCATGCAGACGCAGGCAAACTCCTCCCCCTTCCCTTCTTCTAAGTCCTTGTAATTCCGTGTTCTTCGCGCATGCATGCACGCTATAAATTCCGACTGCGCAATTAGTTAGCTCTCTTAACCCGTTGCTGGAAGCTCGGGGTTGCGCGATCAGGAAGGATCGGCACACGAGCGAAGTAAGAGGTGAGTAGAGTAGGAGTTGGGCGACCCGACGGGCTGGTGCCAAACGCGCGGGATTGACGTGGGCCACGACGGACTGTGGGCACGAGCGAATCTTACGGGTGCGGGAGGACTAAGCGGGGTGACGACTTCGTGGGTTGGTGCGTGACGACGGACTGTCCACATCGGAGAAGAGAGAGAGAGAGAGGAGGAGAGAGTTGAGGTTGATGGACGCGGATTTGCTGTTTCTTTGTCTCTTCCCCCTCTCTATCTGTGTATATAAATTTTGATTGCGGCTCCGGGCGGTTTGCCCGTTCTTGTTTTCGTTTCGGCTTCCCAAAATCTGGATTTGGGTTTTGCTCACACTTGTCCTTACGATGTCCGTCTTGATTGCATTACGTGTATGATTGCTGAATGTATGGATGTATGGATGCTATGCTTGCTTGTCTATCTTTTTGCTAAGAATCCTTGTCCTTGCTTTTGTTTGTCGTCTTCGATGCGCTCATGCATAGACTAGGAATTTTGTGCAAATGATGGTCCTGTCCGTGTGTTTGCTTGCCTTGGGATCGAGCTGTTTTGTGATCGTTGCATCTTGCATAAGTCAGAACCTCACGGAGTGATTAGGAGGTCGGATGCCAGGCTCAGTGAACATCGTGCGGGGACACGTGTAAAACGCGATCTAAGTTGCACACGTACACGCATCCCCTGGCGTCGGCTCATCAATACGTCCAATTAAGAAGGGCCATCTCAGAATCCGCACGGCGCAATCGTCCCGCATGAGCGCGCGTAAGTCCGACGCCATTCGCGCGGCCTGCACGTGCTCGCACACGGCGACCGCAATCGCCGCGGACCCGTCCTTAGGCCGCCCGTAATACCGCAATGACACCATGACGCGATCTTGGAGCTCAGACTCATCCTACGACCCGGATTATTTCACCCCTTGGATAAACGAACTCCTAAGGCA